CATACATTTGGATCACCGACGGTGTCATGAATTTTCACTCAATCACAGTCTCTCAATAATACGGTATTTTGGCATAGTAAAGCGATAGAAATTGTTTAAACTTACCAATATCAGTGATACGTTGTAAACCTTGCCCACATGGAATGACATGGAATCGTAAAAGATTTACTTCCGGGTCATACATGTGCGGGTCGAATGTTTTTGGAAAATAGAGGGGCGATTTTGAAGTAGCCAACCGATTATAGACAGCAGACCATTTTTTTTTTCAAATAACGAAACTATTTTCAAGTAGCGGAAACATTTCCAAGTAGACGACAAATTTCAAGTAGCTGAACGATTTATTTTCAAATAGCGGAGCAATTTTCATGTAGCGGCGCATTTTCAAGTAGCGGAGCAATTTTCAAGTAGCCGACCGATTTTTTTTCAAGTAGCGGAGCGATTTTCATGTAGCGGCGCAATTTTCAAGTAGCCGACAAATTTTCAACTTGCCGACCGAATTTTTTTTCAAGTAGCCGACAGATTTTCATATAGCGGACCAATTGTATATATGGGCCACAGTAGTAATGGAATAACCGATCGATGCTGAAAAGAAATTTCCACTCTCTGGCGAAATCAGGATATATTCATGGTATATTTGCAGTAAAACTGCAGGATTTACAGCAAACCAAGTATATGAAAGCACAGACTTGAATGCAATCCGTCCAAACGCATTTTCATTAAAAGAAATTAAAATACGATATTGTATATATCCGGTAATGGTTTTACAATTATTATTGGTATTATACGCTACCAGACTAGTATGTTTTTAATTGCATGTGTTTTGCCGCTGTTGTTATGAGACCAACTACAAGGCACATAATTGTACAATACACTGACCAACAAATAGGTATTTTAGTTAGTTCTGGTGGGATTTGCTTGATGCAATCACACTTGTGTCGCAAACCGCAATGCATATATTTTAATAAATAGTGATTAGGAAAGATCCAATACTGGTATTTAAATTACTTGGTAATATTGAACTTGTTTTTCTTAATCGCATTTATATTACTCCTTTTATATTACTCTTTCTTTGAACATAATAACCACCATTGTATCCACGGTTAGTGTGTTGCTTGTGTTTGAAACGCTGTTAACATGACTGATTTACAATATAACTTTCGAATTCCTAGCATTTAATAATCATGCAAATATTTTTCTTTCACGAAAAAAAAGAATGTAGAGAGATTGAAACGAGATAATTAAAATTTGAATTTTTTTTACAGATTTTATATATAAAAATTAAAATAATTAAAATAATGTTGTCGTAATGATAATGTACTTTACAGAATACATGTAATGTAATTTTTCAACGACTGATATTGTAAAATTGTTATTTTAATATCAGTCTGTCGAGTTATTATGAATCGTGATTGAAAAGAGGTATTTGACATGGTATTACATGCTGAAAACATGCTTACATGGTTACAAGAACATATGTTTACCGGACCAATGTGTGCTGCAGTTGAAGGCGATACACCTGTTGCCATTATCTGAGAGGCAGGCATTTCGACAGAGTTCTTTCTCCTGACACATAACACAAAGCCGGTGCAAAAAATACAGCGCTTGTTGTGCTGATAGACGCCCAAGTTGGTTGCCACACTTTGTGTGTCCTTTTTATAATAAGAAAATAGTATAACGCATACCCTATTGTGTTAAACTTCTGGTAGAAAATAAACCAAGCTCCACTATTTTGTTGAATGAATTATGTTATTAGCCTATAGCCTCTTTGATTATAATAACGTTGCTCTTGCATATTTACCGAAGACATACTTGCCTGCCAGGGACAATATTCTTTTTCAAGCAGTTCTATCTGTTCGAGTGAATTTCTGCGATATTATTTTATTATTACAATGTACTACTATATGTCAACTGTTTCTTATCAATAATATTGACAACTAATTTTGCTATTCATTGGGCAGACGCTTTTTCCAATATTTCCCTTTGCATTTACTCTTATGAAAGAATTGCCTTTATGTACATGTTATTTATATCACCTGCTAGGCTTTATACTATAAAATGGGTCACTGACTCGACTAGTTCAGTGGAGCGTTTTTAATTAGTAATGTAACACTGATTTTTATTGTTGATTTGTTCATCTGGCCGTGATGTGCACTAAACAAATACAATATTGTATTTAGGGTTAGATGTTAAACATGACTAGATGTTAACCGTTCATTATTCACAACCAAACACGTAAGTTGAAAGGTCACCCTGTCACTGTATGTCATAGCGTACCGGCAGCTGTTTCGGATCATATAACTTGATAAACAGTATAAATGTATTGCGACATTTTGGTTCCAACTGCACGTCATTGATATACGATATCATTTGCAAGTTTCTATCGACTTTCACGTGCATACTTGTGGGACATTTTAATAGTATTTGTTTGAATTTGGATACTCCTTCTCAGTGACAGCGATGAGAAAAGTGCGACATATTGCCATACCACTGCTAATAATATCATTGATATCATTAATTACAATAGCTCGCATGTATAATAGACATGCAGCTTCATATGGGCGATTTAAACAACAAGTTTCTAAAACTATGTATAACGTGCCGCCGAGTCGACCATCGCCTGCGGTGATGTTGATCGCCAGTTACAAAGGAGGGTCCACCTTCTGTGGTGAACTTTTTAACCAGAATCCAGATATGTGTTACTTTTTCGAACCATTGTTTGACACACAAGATAAGCCAACGTGGAATTCCAGTATCAAAGCCACGTCAACTTTAAAAGAACTGTATAACTGCAGGTTTCCAGATTACTACCTAGATATGATTAAAAACTTTTCACTAACGAAATCGAAAAGCAATTGTTTCAAAAAAGTGTGTCATCGTGGTTTCAGCTGCCAAAGAACTGTATTGTCAGAGTTTGTGCAAGGTTGTGGGAATTATAAGTACATAGCAATGAAAGTATTACGTTTACAATCACTAGAGGTGTTAAAACCATTGGTATTGGAAGAGAAAATTGATTTGAAGATTATTCACCTCATCCGTGATCCAAGAGGAATTGCTTGCTCCAGAACATGTCAAGGCTTCTGGGACGTTCGGCGACGAGAAATAATTGAGAAGCAAAGCGATCTGTTGAAATCTGTTGCACATGATTGTAAACAGGTATTTAACATGGTATTATATGCTAAAAGTATGCCTACATGGTTACAAGATCGTTATAAAATTGTTAGATACGAGGACCTTGCATCCGATCCAATCACTATAGCTGAAGATATTTATAAATTTCTGCACATGGATACACCATATGAAGTGACATCCTGGATAGAAGAAAACACAAAACACGAGGAACAAAATGAAGGACGTTTAAAGAGAAGTCGTAACTCATCAGCCACTGCCGAATCGTGGAGGAATGTACTTAGCTATCAAGAAGCTAAATTTATTCAATCCGTGTGTACTGATATTATTGAGGTAATGGATTATAAAATGTTGAGTTCAGAGACCCAATTACAAAATCTCTCATACAGACTATTTTAAAAATCCATTTTTCTGTTAATTGTTCATGAATATTCTCGTACATGTTCATTATGTACTATAATAAATATACAGCAAATTATTGGTTAGTGATATTATAATGGATATGGTCAATAGTTGTTAGAAAGTGTGTTTCCAATGAAATATTTGCAACTTCAAGCTCAAATACCAACAATTTATTCTTTTATCGGCTGTCAGATTGTAATTATGATAATCCATATGATGATTATGCAATGAAGACATTTAACTGTCATAGATTTAGTAATGTTATTGTTATGTGAACAATACAATTACAGCTAAATATATCCTGAAAAAGTAGAATATCAACGCCATTCATTAATTCATTCATACATGCATGCTACATAATACAAATGATGCTAAACCAATCTGCCTAGGTGATGTATTTGTCACCAGGTCATGATATCTGATAAATGGTTGAATCTTAAAATAAAATTACGTTTTCCTACAAAACTTAGGCTTAGCAACTTAGTCAGGTCGCCATATTGCAATCACGTGCTTTTAATGCCCACTTTGCATATACGCATAGTTTCGTTTTGTCGGCGAAGCACACTTTTTATTTCAGTACAATCCACTCTATTTCTTTGTTCTCTGAGGAGCTCCTTGTTTACCGGGCAGGAAACCACTGGTTTGATTTTGATCATCTCTCTAAATCACAAGCACACCTGGTAGATTCCAATTGTCCTTCCAGAGTAATAAGCAAGTATGACATGTCAATCACCTTTTTGACAGTTATAACCCGGCAATGTACACTGGTTTTTCCCATGACTCGATGCACACTTCTATTTGCAGTGTTGAGGTAATAAGAAAAAAAAACATAGAATAAAGATGCTGACATTGCCCATCATCAAGACTGAACATGACAAATTTTAACCTACTGTTTACTACTCGTGCAGAGTTTCAATAAATTAATGGCTGGCGATCAGTTACCAAAATACATTCTTTACCATATGAATATTGGTGAAAAATATGCAATGCCCAAATCACAGCCACTCTTTTTCAATTACCGACTTCTCTCTGTAATTTACGACTAGAATTTGCATATTGCTGCAATAAGCAAGCACCAAGCCCAACTCCTGATAGTATAATTAATGTTGAAAAATATTAGGTGATTCCACTAATACGTGGAAAATGAATTACATTGCCAATTTATACAAGAAACTCCAAAATAAAACTTGATTCTGAAGATTGTAACAAATATGATTTATAGTTCCACCAAGGTTAGATTCACATGAATGCATGTCAATATTAAGATATGACGACAAAATTCAATACAACAATCCCGATGATATAAAGAAACTTCAACAATTATGTATATGGCATATTAAGCAATATACTGAGGGACATTATAATTGTGGTAAAGTGGAAAATTGCCAGGAAATTGAAAGTAACTGGGAATCAATTGCACTTTTCAGAAAACTTATGATTGAAATGTTGATACTAACATGATATAATATCGAGTTCTATTTTCAACATTGCGTTTTAGGGACCCGAACAGAAGGCAAATATTTATCGGACATTTTGGCTCATTTGAGTGTAGTAGATAGCAGAATCGCTAAAGACTTTCTGGAACAATTATGATTTGTTTTCTCACCATTTATATATTCTTTCTTGGTTATTGCTGAAGATACTCCTGCATATACTACGGGATCTATAGAAGTGCCTGCATTTGTAGGCAGTATAAATTTCCTTATAATGCTTCAATTTGTTGAATAAAATTGTTAAGGCATACTAGAATTAACATGCTGCCTTTGAAATATATATCACTTGCAATCCAGTGTCAACGATTAGAGCAATAACGTCTTTATGCAAGACGATGCGAATGATAAAATATTTGGATGTGACCGTCTTACACGATAAGGGCTGCATGTTCATAAGAATGACGTAAATATATGGTCAGAAATTAAAACTGATTTCATTTGTCCAGGCTCATGTACATAAATATGGTTGTATGGTCAAAAAGCAACATTGCAATCAGTAAACCATCTTTGATCAAAGGCGTTAGGCAAACGTATTGGATCAGTGATACAACCTGCTTTAAAATAAAAATAAAATAATATTCGTATTAAATATACACAAAAACTAGGTACTGCGCCATTATATCTATATATAGTTTCCTTACCGATTTGACACATATTCGATAAATTGAGAAAGTCGTAAGAGTAGTAAAAAAAATATTTAACAGCGCCGCCCGCCATCAATGAATTGCATCTACTTAGCGTTTGCCTGCGCGTCCGTGTTCAGTTATAAAAGAGAAATTTCGCTAAACTATAAAATATACAGGGTATGACACGGAGCATTCTATTTCGGACACCCCGCGTACCAGACTTCTCGTTTGCGAACTTTATTAATGGTGTTCGTAGTTGACGGCCGAGTACCAAATGACCACATCATCATTATTTTAGTGTAAAATAGAACGTAATTTTTATGTGATGATTGTGAAAAATCTTTATGAAAACAGGAATAAACCAAATTTGTCATGAACATATTGAAACTATTGCTTGGTCGAGCCTATTTTTTCCGGTAAGCTTAATTCGCCCGTCATCGAATTAACTTTAAATATGCACAGAACGGCAGCGATGCATCAAGAGTGATTGCACAACAACGATTATTAACGTTCCTGCATTTCATATTGAGCCCAGATTAGCAAGTTGTGTTTTTTAAGGATTGAACATGATGTTACCTTGTTTTATATAAGGCAGACATGCATAATAATGCGAAGAAGATTGTGACACTAATTGCCATGAATATGTATCAAAACACATGTCAATGATACATTTTGTACTCCAAGATGGAACAAATCATCGTGGACATGTATCTCAACATGTATAATGTTTGTACCAAATTTGAGCAAAAACTGTATATTGGACAGGAATTGTCAACCTTTTTCAAAAAACAAGATGGAACAAACTGACATGAACAAGTATTTCTATGTGTATGATGTATATATACCAAATATGAATGAAAATTGTTGAAAAGCCTTGTAGATATAGTAGTATTGTCAAAAAGCAAGACGGCCATCTTTCATCTGATTGTGAAACAATTTGTTATGGACATGTAATCTATAATGTAAAATGTATAACACATTTTAATGAAAATAACGAACCATATCCATGATACAACATTTCCAAGAAAAAACGAGATTGCTTCGAGTCGAATCATTATAGACATGTATAATGAATGTACCAAATTTCAACAAAGGTGGCAAAGATTCCACACGATTGTGAAACTAATTGTCATGAACATATATTCTAACATTTAAAAATTTGAAGTGAACAAATTTAAATAACACTTTTTCCGAAAAAAGCTGGCTGCCAGTCAGCTATCTTAGATTGAATCAGTAAACCACAGCATGTGAATATGTCCTAGGCATATTAAAAGAATTACGTAACTGATTTCAAAAGGGCTCATCACTTCAGTCACGTTAGCGTATAGCATTTTGTTAGTAGGGGTGTGCGATTGCGAAATTTGACATTTCACAGTTTCATCATGTTCGATTATTATTTTATTTCCACCAGTAATATAGATATTTGTTATTTTACTATTCTGTACGTACTAAAAACGTAGTGTTTGATTTGTTAGTGACGACGGTTCCAACTCAGCCCATAATGATAACGTCCAACCAGTGTATTGCGCTCACATTATTTTGGACAGTGTTCTACGGACGCCTGTTCGCGCAAAGAAATGTGGGACACTCTACCACAAATAAAGATGAAATGAATATATATACCCGAACGAGAGACTGCACCATTGG